CACACGATTATTTCAGTGGTTTTACTATCCGGCTTTTAGTCACTGTGGTTTGTCAGGATGTTTACTGTATATGGGCATCCGGTTACCAGCCCTGGGTGGTGGCTGCTGTCCAATACGACACAATGCGGGTGACGTCAGCAACCTACATACGTCTCATGTGACCAGGAAGAAGAAAATAAAGATCCTGGAGTTGTACAAGTTAGCGACCTCTCTACGCAGTGGTAGCAATGGCTGTAGTATACCTGCTTCACACTGTGTATACACCCACTCAGGCTGAGGGACAGACATCATCTGACATACGAGAATCCGAACATATCCATCTATATCACGTGTGATTATCAGTTGTGAGACTCATCTGTAGCGTGTCGGTCGGATGACACTGGCTGGAATCGTCAGTCAGACGTGGTACTGTGATGTCTTCTGCACTAGCCATTGCATTTCCACCATTAGTCCGTTGTAATTTAGCGTTAAGATGTGCACTGATTTGTTCTATATATAAATAGCTGTAGCGCGAGAAATATATCCACTATGCCCTGTACAGTTGTAACATGATGCGATCCACATATAACAAATGTTGGTGTTAACTTATGCTTTAACATGTTTAATATGGAATATAATTTGCGGGGATTTGGTTTAGGAGAAAGTGAAACAGCGGTGTTTGGCGGTACTGAAATAGGGTCCATTTTCGCAGATTAAAACGTTGCTAATTATAGACTAATTATAGCTGGTTTGGTTTGTTCAACTCTATTCGCTGACCTGCCTGGCGAAAAAAGGACACCTATAAGGAGGATCGAGAAGAAACGACGGATATCAAAACATGGGAAATACAATAAGGGGGATACATTCAGACTGTTGGTTTTCCTTGAATCATGTAGGGATGAAGGGTTAAAATCACATTTTACATAGGAAATTATGCACTGCGTCATATCCTTTAAAGAATGCAGGTAAACGAGAGAGAATGATAACTGTTTGCCTTGATATATATATATCAGAAATACGTTGTGTGCTTCTCCTCGTAAATTAGATCGGAAAGAAATGTACTGGTTATATCATCATCAAGCTTCAGGCCCGTGTTTGGGAATATGATTATACCTTAATAAGAAGAAGAGGAGAGAGAGAGAGAGAGAGAGAGAGAGAGAGAGAGAGAGAGAGATTTGTTTAAAACATTGTCTTCCGCCAAAATCAATTCTCTGTTGTCTGTGTTTTCGTCACTTTGAATAAACACCTTCTTATCTTTAAATTTAGTCCATTAACATTCAAATTCTTATCTCTTTTCTCTTCAAACTTTGAGAATCCAGCTTCCAAATTAGGTGACCCGAAATATCTTTTAAATGACACTCACATCAAAGTTGTCAAGGAGGCCAAATTCTTGGGTCTAATTTTCGACTCCACTTTAACTTTTGCCGCATATCAAATGCCTAAAAACTAAATGCCTGAAGGCACTCGATTTACTGAAGATGTTTTCTAACTCAAAGTGTGGAGGGATCAAGCTATCTCTCCTACACCTAAACGAGATCACTTGTCTTTCGGCTTCATTGTGGCTCCATGCGTGAAATGAAGGAACATAAAAGCAACCTAAAACTACTTGCTCCTGTCCACCACCAGGGCCTCAGACTTTGTCTTGGGTCCTTTAAAACCTCTCTATTGATGGTCACTATGTTGAGGCTGATGAGCCATCCTTAAATAACGTCGTATCAAATTATCATTTACAGTATATAACAAAGAGCTCTATTCCAGCGAGTCTAAGCCTGTCTTTAATCCTGTATAATTAACTGTAATGCTTGAATATTGCTAAAAGCGGAGTAAAACCAAAACTCACTCACCACACCACGGAAGCTGCTGCATGAATATGGAGGCGTGCTGTGTTAATGACATCAAACATGTATAATCCCCCTATAGTCTGTCGGGAACATGTATAATAACCCTATAGTCTGTTGGGAACATGTATAATCCCCTATAGTCTGTTGAGACATGTATAGCCCCCTATAGTCTGTCGGGAACATGTATAATCCCCCTATAGTCTGTTGGGAACATGTATAACCCCCCTATAGTCTGTTGGGAACATGTATAATCCCCCTATAGTCTGTTGGAAACATGTATAATCCCCATAAAGTCTGATGGAAACATGTATAATCCCCATATAGTCTGTTGGGAACATGTATAATCCCCCTATAGACTGTCGGAAATATGTATAATCCCCCTATAATCTGTCGGGAAGATGTATAATCCCCCAAACAGCTGCTATAGTAAAACTGGACTAAAGCTGGTATCGAACATTTTTAAGAAGCGACCTTCCATGTTAAATATGAGATCCGATTTGTGTATGAATGTAACTCGTCCTAATGAGGGGAATGTTTTCATTTATCAAAAACCCGAAAGAAAAAGCGGGGCCAAGACTCATTCTTGTCTTACTCCTAATTTGCTTTGTACGGAAGAAAGCGTATTGGGCTGTTATTAAAATTTTTGTGTTAATGCGGAAATGTGGCAAATACTTGGTTCGTTATCATGAAAAGTAAAACACGTTATACCACTGGTGACCATGTTGTAAAATCACGCTATCCCTTCAAAGAAGTGAATCTTAATCGAAAGAATCATCATGTTTATCCCTGAAAACAGTCATCTTCATCGGTTCATCAACGAAACAACGAGGCAAATCGAGATCACAATGGACAGGCACTACGTTATGGTGTTAGGTGTTTTTGCAAGACGATACATGACATTGTCTTATATCTCCAATAAAAGTACCCCAATGTTGTACATTTGAATATTTGAAGGGAATCCCAAACGGCCATTTTCACACAGTTGTTTCCACAGATATCACTGATTGTTCGAATATGGCTGAAACTCACTCACTCACTCACTCACTGATTGTTCGAGCCATTGTGAATTCATTACTGGAATCAAAATCTTAAATATAAGAAATGAGAAAATCAATACATTAGTGTTATATTTGTTCTAAGTGTGTTTTCGAGCCATTATGAATTCATTACTGGAATCAAAATCTTAAATATAAGAAATGAGAAAATCAATACATTCGTGTTATATTTGTTTTAAGTGTGTTTCATTGTATAAATACCAGTTTATGTTGTAATCGCGAAAATAACAAGTAGATGAAAAGGGGTATTTTGGGGCACGAGTAACAGGTTTCTGTTCGATTGAAGCAGGAGCAACTTATCAATGAATATTAGTCAGAAACGTAGTCCGTCATAATATCTTCCTAGGTCATCTACATGCAGTAGCCAATCACGGGATTAGAAATCGGTCTCAAATATATGTTAAATACCAGTTTTCACACATGGGTTTTTCACCCACGGGTGAGTAAAAAAAATGAAACTTTCTTATGGTGTATGGAGGAACAGTGTACTGGTAAGACAACAGGATACCAATGTATGGAGGAGACAGTGTACTGGTAGTGACAAGTTACCGGTGTATGGTGGGGACAGTGTACTGGAAGTGACAGATTACTGGTGTATGGAGGGGACAGTGTACTGAGAGTGACAGGTTACCTGTGTATGGAGGGGACAGTGTACTGGTAGTGACAGGTTGCTTGTGTATGGAGTGGACAGTGTACTGGTAGTGACAGATTACTGGTGTATGGAGGGGACAGTGTACTGATAGTGACAGATTACTGGTGTATGGAGGGAACAGTGTACTGATAGTGACAGGATACTGGTGTATAGAGGGCACAATGTACAGATAGTGACAGGTTATCGGTGTATAGAGGGGACAGTGTACTGGAAGTGACAGGTTACTGGTGTATAGAGGGGACAGTGTACTTATAGTGACAGGTTACTGGTGTATGGAGGGGACAGTGTACTGGTAGTAACAGGTTACCAGTGTATAGAGGGACACCGTGAACAGGCAGTGGCAGGTTATCGGTGTATGGAGGGGACAGTGTGCTGATAGTGACAGGTTACCGGTGTATGGAGCGGACAGTGTACTGGTAGTGCCAGATTACTGGTGTATGGAGGGGACAGTGTCCTGATAGTGACAGGTTACCTGTGTATGGAGGGGACAGTGTACTGGAAGTGAGAGGTTACCTGTGTAAGGAGGGAACAGTGTGCTAGTAGTGACAGGTTACTGGTGTATGGAGGGGACAGTGAACTGGTAGTAACAGGTAACCAGTGTATGGAGTGGACAGTGTGCTGTTAGAAACAGTTTAGCAGAGTATAGCGGGTCATCGTGTACATGAAGTGGCAGGTTATCGGTGTATGGAGGGGACAGTGTGCTGATAGTGACTGGTGAACGGTGTATGGAGGGGACAGTGTGCTAATAGTGAGAGGTTACCTGTGTATAGAGGGGACAGTGTGCTGGTAGTGACAGGTTTACATGTGTATGGAGGGGACAGTGTACTGGTAGTGAGAGATTACCTGTGTATGGAGGGGATAGTGTACTGATAGTAACAGGTTACAGGTGTATGGAGGGGACAGTGTGCTATAGTGACAGGTTACAGGTGTATGGAGGAACAGTGTGCTGGTAGTGACAGGTTAGTTGAGTGTATGGAGGGACAGTGTACTGGTAGTGAGAGTTACCTGTGTATGGAGGGATAGTGTACTGATAGTAACAGGTGCCAGTGTATGGAGAGAACAGTGTGCTAGTAGTGACAGGTTTACTGGTGTATGGAGAGGGACAGTTTACTGGTAGTAACAAGGTTACCTGTGTATGGAGGGGACAGTGTACTGGTTTTGACAGCTTGTTTGTGTATGGAGTGGACAGTGTCCAGGTAGTGACAGGTTACTGGTGTATTGAGGGGACATTGTACTGAGAGTGACATGTTACTGGTGTATGGAGAGGGACAGGTGTGCAGTTAGTGACAGGTTATCCCTGATTGTATTGATTGGAAAGATGTACTAATAGTTATAGGTTACCGTTGAATGGAGGGGACAGTGTACTGGTAGTGACAGGTTTCTGGTAAATAGACGGGACAGTCTACAGATAGTGACAGGTTACCGGTGTATAGAGAGGACAGTGTACTGGAAGTGGCAGATTACTGGTGTATAGAGGGGAGAGTGTACTGGTAGTGACAGGTTACAGGTGCATGTAGTGGACCTTGGTGTACTAAGTAGTATTAGAGTTACGGTTGTATGGAGGGGACAGTGTACTGGTAGTGACTTGTTACCGGTGTATGGAGGGGACAGTTTGCTAGTAGTGACAGGTTACTGGAGTATGAAGTGGACAGGGGCCTAGTAGTGAGAGGTTACCGGTGTATGGAGGGGAAAGAGCACTGGTAGTGACAGGTTACCTTTGTATGGAGGGGACAGTGTACTGTTAGTGACAGTTTACTGGTGTATGGAGGGGACAGTGTACTGGTAGTGACGGATTACTCGTGTATGGAATGGACAGTGTACTGGTAGTGACAGATTACTAGTGTATGTGGGGAACAGAGTACTCGTAGTGACAGGTTACTTGTGTATGGAGTGGACAGTGTACTGGTAGTTATAGGTTACCGTTGTATGGAGGGGACAGTGCACTGGTAGTGAGAGATTACTGGTATATTGTAGGGGACAGTGTACTGGTAGTGACAGGTTACTGGTATATTCTAGGGGACAGTGTACTGGTAGTGAAAGGCTACTGGTGTATGGAGTGGACAGGGGCCTAGTAGTGAGAGGTTACCGGTGTATGGAGGAGAGAATGTACCGGTAGTGACAGGTTGTTGGTGTATGGAGGGAACAGTGTGCTGGTAGTTACAGGTTGCCGGTGGATGGACGGGACAGTGTACTGGTAGGGAAAGATTACTAGTGTATGGAGGGGACAGTTTCCTAGTAGTGACAGGTTACTGGTGTATGGAAGGGAGAGTGTACTGGTAGTGACAGGTTACTGGTGTATGGGGTGGAGAGTGTACTGGTAGTGACATATTACTGGTATATTGTAGGGGACAGTGTACTGGTAGTGACAGATTACTGGTGTATTATAGGGGACAGTGTACTGGTAGTGAGAGGTTACTGGTGTATGGAGTGGACAGGGGCCTAGAAGTGAGAGGTTACCGGTGTAGTGAATGGTTACTGGGGAATGGAGGGGAAAGTGTACTTTTAATGACAGGTTATCGGTGTATGGAGGGGACAGTGTACTGGTTGTCACAGGTTTCTGGTGTATGGAGGGGACAGTGTGCTAGTAGTAACAGGTTAATTGTGTGTGGAGTGCACAGTGGCCTAGTAGTGAGATGTTACCGATCTATGGAAGGGACAGTGTACTGGTAGTGACAGGTTACTGGTGTGTGAAGTGAACAATTTCCTAGTAGTGACAAGTTACCAGTGTATGGAGTGGACAGTGTAGTGGTAGTGACTGGTTACTGGGGAATGGAGGGGACAGTGTACTGGTAGTATCAGATTATTGGTGTATCGAGGAGAGAGTGTGCTAGTAGTGACAGGTAACTTGAGTATAGAGTGGACAGTGGCCTAGTAGTGAGAGGTTCACGGTGTATGGAAGGGACAGTGAACAGGTAGCGATTGGTTACTGGTGTATGGAGGGGACAGTGTTCTGGTTGTGACAGGTTATTGGTGTATGGAGGGGAAAGTGTACTGGTAGTGACAGATTACTGGTGTATGGAGTGGACAGGGGCCTAGTAGTGAGAGGTTACCGGTGTATGGAGGGGACAGTGTAGCGGTAGTAACAGGCTACTGGTGTATGGAATGGACAGTGTACTGGTAGTGACATGTTAATAGTGTATGGAGGGGACAGTGTATATGTAGTGACAGGTTCCCTATGTATGGAGTGGACAGTATATGTAGTGACAGGTTCCCTATGTATGGAGTGGACAGTGTACTAGTAGTTATAGGTTACCGGTGTATGGAGGGAACAGTGTATATGTAGTGACAGGTTCCCTATGTATGGAGTGGACAGTATATGTAGTGACAGGTTTCCTATGTATGGAGTGGACAGTGTACTAGTAGTTATAGGTTACCGGTGTATGGAGTGGACAGTGTACTGGTAGTGACAGATTACTAGTGTATGGAGGGGACAGTTTACAGATAGTGACAGATTACCGGTGTATGGAGTGGACAGTGTACTAGTAGTTATAGGTTACCGACGTATGGAGAGGACAGTGTACTGGAAGTGACAGATTACTGGTGCATGGAATTGACAGTGTACTGGTGGTGATAGGTTACTGGTGTTTGGAGGGACAGTGTACTGGTAGTGACTGATTACCGGTGTATGGAGGGGACGAGGAAAGGTCGTGACAGGTTACCTGTCTATGGAAGGGACAGTGTACTGGTAGAGGCAGGTTACCGGTGTATGGAGGGGACAGTGTATTGGTACTGATAAGTTACATGTGTATGCAGGGAACAGTGTACTGGTAGTGACAGATTACTGGTGGATGGAATTGACAGTGTACTGGTTGTGACAGGTTTCTGGTGTTTGGAGGGACAGTGTACTGGTAGCGACAGATTACTGGTGTGTGAAGTGGACAGTTTCCTAGTAGTGAGAAGCTACCGTTGTATGGAGTGGACAGTGTAGTGGTAGTGACTGGTTACTGCGGAATGGAAGGGACAATGTACTTTTAGTGACAGGTTATTGGTGTATGGAGGGGACAGTGTACTGGTAGTGACAGGTTTCTGGTGTATTGAGGGGACAGGGTACAGGTCATGACAGGTGATCGGTGTATGGAGGGGACTGTGTACTGGTAGTGAGAGGTTACTAGGGTATGGAGGGGACAGTGTACTGCTAGTGACAGGTTTCTGGTGTATGGAAGGGACAGTGTACAGGCACTGACTGGTTACAGGGGAATGGAGGGGGACAGTCTACTTTTCATGACAGGTTATTGGTGTATGGAGGGGACAGTGTACTGGTTGTGACAGGTTATTGGTGTATGGAGGGGACAGTGTACTGGTAGTGACAGATTACTGGTGTATGGAGTGGACAGGGGCCTAGTAGTGAGAGGTTACCGGTGTATGGAGGGGACAGTGTTCCGGTAGTAACAGGCTACTGGTGTATGGAATGGACAGTGGACTGGTAGTGAGAGGTTAATAGTGTATTGATGGGACAGTGTATATGTAGTGGAAGGTTCCCTATGTATGGAGTGCACAGTGTACTAGTACTTATAGGTTACCGGTGTAAGGAGGGGACAGTGTACTGGTAGTGATAAGGTACTGGTGTATGGAGCGGACAGTGTACTGGTAGTGAAAGATTACTAAAGTATGAAGGGGACAGTGTACTAGTAGTTATAGCTTACCGGTGTATGGAGGGGACAGTGTACTGGTAGTGAGAGATTACTAGTGTATGGAGGGGACAGTTTACAGATAGTGACAGGTTACCGGTGTACGGAGTGGACAGTGTACTAGTAGTTATAGGTTACCGGTGTATGGAGGGGACAGTGTACTGGATGTGACAGATTACTGGTGTATGGAGGGGACAGTGACCTGGTAGTTACAGGTTCCCGCTGTATAGAGGGGACAGTGTGTTAGTAGTGACAGGTTACTGGTGTATGGAGGGGACAGAGGCCTTGTAGTGAGAAGTTACCTGTCTATGGAGGGGACAGTGTACTGGTAGTGAGAATTTACTGGTGTATGAATGGGACAGTGTACTGGAAGTGAAAGATTACCAGTGTATTGAGTGGATAGTATACTGGAAGTGACAGATTAGAGGTGTATGGAGGGGACAGTGTACTGGTAGTGACAGATTACTGGTCTATGGAGGGGTAAGTGTACTGGTAGTGGCATGTTACTGGTGTAAGGTGTGGGCAGTGTACTGGTAGTAACAGGTTACTGGAGAATGGAGTGGACAGTGTACCGGTAGTGACACACTGTGAGAGGATACCGGTGTAAGGAGGGGACAGTGTACTGATAGTGACGGGATACTGGTGTATGGAGGGGACGGTGTATTGGTAGTGTCTGATTACTGGTGTATGGAGTGGACAGCTTCCTAGTAGTGAGAATTTTCCAGTGTATGGAGAGGACAGTGTCCTGGTAGTGGGAGGTAACCGGTGTATGGAGTGGACAGTGTGCTAGTTGTGACAGGTTACAGGTGTATGGTGTGGGCAGTGTACTGGTAATGAAAGGTTACTGGAGAATGGGGTGGACAGTGTACCGGTAGTGACACACTGTGAGAGGATACCGGTGTAAGGACGGGACAGTGTACTGGTAGTGACAGGATACTGGTGTATGGAGGGGACAGTGTATTGGTAGTGTCAGGTTACTGGTGTATGGAGTGGACAGTTTCGTAGTAGTGAGAATTTACCGGTGTATGGAGAGGACAATGTCCTGGTAGTGGCAGGTTACCGGTGTATGGAGGGGACAGTGTGTTAGTTGTGAGAGGTTACTGGTATATGGAGTTGACACTAGCCATTTTAGTGAGAGGTTACCGGTGTATGGAAGGAACAGTGTACTGGTAGTGACAGGTTTCTGGTTTATGGAGGGGACAAGGTATAGGTCGTGACATGTTACCTGTGTATGGAGGGGACAATGACCGGGTAGTGACAGATACCCGGTGTATGGAGGGGACAGTGTGCTAGTAGTGACAGGTTAATTGTGTATGGAGTGGACAGTGGCCTAGTAGGGATAGGTTTCTGGTGTATTGAAGGGAAAGTGTAATGGTAGTGACAGATTACAGGTGTATGGATGGGACAGTGTAATGGTATTGACAGGTTACTGGTGTATTGAAGGGCAGTGTACAGGTAGTGACAGTTTACAGGTGTATGGAATGGACAGTGTACTGGTAGTTAGAGGTTATTGGTGTTTGGAGGGCACACTGTACTGGTAGTGACAAGTTACTGGAGTGTGAAGTGGACAGTTTCCTAGTAGTGACAGGTTACTGGTGTATGTAGTGGACAGTGAACTGGTAGTGACATGTTACTGGTGTATGGAGTGGACAGTGCACTGGTAGTGACTTGTTACCTGTGTATGGAGGGGACAGTGTACTGGAAGTTAGAGGTTAACGGGGTTGGGACGGGACAGTGAAATTTTAGGGTCAGGTTATGTTGACAGTGTACTGGTAGTGACAGATTACTAGTGACAGGTTACTGGGGTATGGAGGGGACAGTGTACTGCTAGTGACAGTTTTCTGGTGTATGGAAGGGACATTGTACAGGTAG